CACACACACACACACACACACACACACACACACACACACACACACACACACACACACACAGTGTGCGTGTGTGTCTTTCTCTTTGTGTGCCTTTCATGGACCTACCTCTTCGTTTGGGGCGTTATTTGACATCTTTGACGATCCCGTTTTGGCCTCTGTCCCTTCATTGCTGGCGGATGGAACGCCCTGGTCGTCGAGTTTCTCGTCGTCGTTGGCAACAGCTACCGGTCGTTCGGAGCTTACAGAGGAGTCCGCCGTTGCTGTCAACGGCAACCCGACCCGATCCCGGCCGTCCCTTTCTCCCGGCCCAGACAACCGCACGGGATGTCCCTTCCTCGTCATCTTCCAGGTCAGCCTGACCACCCGTGGCCCGAGAGGAAGGCGCTGCTGCTGGGATCCCAACTCCCTCCCCAAGAGCACATTGCAAATCCTTCTACCACCATGGATGTGCTCATGGGATCGCCACGTGTCACCGGCCATCACAGCATGATTGCCCCGGCAGCAGCCACGTGTCGACTTCACAGGAAGGCCAGCATGGCCTACATGCCGCTGCTGCTGCTGCTGCTGTTGCTGCAGAGCGGTCTGGAACGTCGCCGACCGTTTGAACCCCACCCCGATGCCGTCCTCGACGACCTTGCCGGTTGCGATCCCGATCGAAACGCCAGCCATCGTGATCAGTCTGCCCGCAGAAATGTCTGTGTACAGCGAGTCCCCGCGAAGCTGCCACGTGTCCACAGATCAGCAAAGCACAGCTGCAGGCCTTCAAAAAAAAGGGCGAGCCAATTCAAAAAAAAAAAGAAATTGGCGCGGAGTACGCGACGGCGCAAGCGTCATTCAATTCAACTGTAATTGCCAGCAAGACAAGGTCAAGGGGAATTCAACAGAAAACGACAAAAGGTTCAGAAAAGAAGAAGACGAAAACTGCAGAATGGCCTTGCCATCAAGGGATTCCAAGGCCTTCTTTTTTTTCTTTTTTTTTGAAATTCCAAGGCCTTCCCTTCCCCCCCCAATAGAATAAAAAATCATAATACTAGTAATAATAAATAAATTTGCCTCCGATCCCGAAGTACACGTCATTAAACATATCACAGCACTACCAGTAGCAATCGCTCGTGCCACGTCAGCGCCGCCAGGTCTCCACAACTATCAGGACTAGCTCCAGAAAAAAGAAAGAACAAGAGTGCGTGCTGGTGCGAGCGAGTCACACACACACACAGAGAGAGAGAGAGAGAGAG